GGGGTGCCCGCGAGTTTGAGAAACGTGGCAAATCCCATGTGCTTTTGCACCCTGACTCCGTCGATCCGCGCGGGGGGTGCCGCCGAATGTCAAACATTTTGCATATTCCCAGCGTTTCTAGATTTTGACCTTGCGGATCTGCGCAAAGGGGCCGCCGGATTCATACATGTGGTAAATCCTGTATGTTTTTGAGGCCCCGACCCTGCTGATCTGCGTGGGGGGTGCCGCCGGATTTCAGAAATGTGGCACATCCTTTTTGTGTTTTTGGGCCCTGGCCCTGCGGATCTGCGTGAGGGGTGCTGCCGAGTTTGCAGAAATGTTGCAAGTCCTGTATGTTTTTCGGCCGTGACCCCGCCAATCTGCGTGGGGGGCCCCGCCGAATTTCCGAAATGTGGCAAATCTTATGTGCTTTTGGACCTTGACCCCGCCGATCTGCTCGAGGGGTGCCGCCAGATTTCAGACATGTGGCAAATCTTGTATGTGTTTTTTGGACCCTGGCGTTGCTGATCTGCGTGAGGGGTGCCGCCGGATTTCTGAAAATTGGCAAATGCTTTTTGTATGTTTGGGCCCTTTGCTGATCTGCGCGAAGGGTGCTACCGAATTTTCAGAATTGTTGCAGATCCCATGTGTCTTCGGACCTTGACTCCGCCGATCTGCGTGAAGGGTGCCCGCGAGTTTGAGAAACGTGGCAAATCCCATGTGTTTTTGCACCCTGACTCCGTCGATCCGCGCGGGGGGCGCCGCCGAATGTCAAACATTTTGCATATTCCCAGCGTTTCTAGATTTTGACCCTGCGGATCTGCGCAAAAGGGGCCGCCGGATTTCATACATGTGGTAAATCCTGTATGTTTTTGAGGCCCCGACCCTGCTGATCTGCGTGGGGGGTGCCGCCGGATTTCAGAAATGTGGCACATCCTTTTTGTGTTTTTGGGCCCTGGCCCTGCGGATCTGCGTGAGGGGTGCTACCGAGTTTGCAGAAATGTTGCAACTTCTGTATGTTTTTTGGCCGTGACCCCGCCGATCTGCGTGGGGGGCGCCGCCGAATTTCAGAAATGTGGCAAATCTTATGTGTTTTTGGACCTTGACCCCGCCGATCTGCTCGAGGGGTGGGCAGTTTTACAAACCCCAGCAATGCCGAGCATACTCTCAGGGCGTGGTAGAATTGTCCGTTTTGGGACCCCCCCCCGGGCGGTCCAGCAACAAGGAGCATTAAGCAGCAAACGACACAACTGTAACAGTGCAAACCATCAGCTGCAAAGAAACAGGTTTGCAACAGTGGAAACTGGAATATGCAACGGGTACAGGGAATTGCTAACCTTTGTCCTACAGCCTGGTGGCCCCTCAAGGGGGCCGGCGGATATCGATTGCGCCTTGCGCGCGCGCGTACGCTGCGCCCGGCAGATGCGGAGGGGGCGGCAGGAACGTCGGCAGTTGGCGGGACTGGAAAAGCCCGCCGCGGGCACCAAAGTTTCGCAAATGATAGAACGAACCCGCCGCAGGGCCGACTTTTTCGTTAAACCAATGTGGGGTCGCGGGGTGGGTCGCGCGTGGGTCGCGGGTGGGTCGCTATTGGGTCGCGGGCGGGTCGAGGGTGGGTCGCGGGCGCAGAGGGCAGAACATCCACCTCGTTTTTATCGCCGCGACAAGCGAGTCCGTGTAGCAAACGCACACAAGGAATGAATCGAACAGGGCAGGGTTGTTTACTCAACGCCCAGGGCCGTTTTAGTGAGGGTAAACGTCGGGTTTGGATGGTTTTTCCTCCCTTAAGGGTGGTTCGCGGGGTGGGCCGCGGGTGGGACGCGGGGTGGGTCGCTGGAAGGTCGCAGATGGGTCACGGGTGGGTCGCGGATGGGCCGTGGGGTGGGTCGCAGGTGGGTCGCGGGGTGGGTCGCCGGGTGGGTCGCGGGGTGGGTCGCGGGGTGGGTCGCGGGTGGGGCGCGGGTGGGTCGCAGGGTGGGTCGCGGGTGGGTCGCGGGGTGGGTCGCGGGTGGGTCGCGGGTTGGGTCGCGGGCGGGTCGCGGGGTGGGTCGCGGGTGGGATGACGACAACAAACAACAACCAACAACAACGGCAACAACAACAATGCAGAAAACGTAACTCCCACCACGAATTCTTGATTCAACCACGCACCCACGAACAGCGAATGACCGTTCGGGACCCTCACTCTGATATATGCACATATATACATATATATAGATATAGATATATTTGCATTTTGTTTTAGCATATTCCACGACGGATTCTTCGCCAATGGCTTTCTACGTGTGTCAGAGTACGTCCAAGAAGTTGGACGATGCAATTCAAGGGGGTTCACCAGGGGTGGTGTCATGGGACCTATCGGGACGAGTCTGTTGCAATGGTGGTCCTCAATTGGCAGCGCCCCTCTGGTGCCCGAGATATCGCCCCTCGAGGCCCCCGGGGAGGGCCTGGGAGCGCTCTCGTGGCCCTCTTGGGTCCTTTTTTTCGTCCCCTCCTTGAGGCTGCTGTGGGCGATCTTGGGCTCGGCTTGAGGCCCCACAGGCTCCTCGGCAGCGAAATGGCAGGAACCTCTTCCTGGACCGGAACATGGTTGAAGTGCGCAGCTGGGCCTCTCGGGGGTCTGCTCGGCTCGCGCCCTGGCCGCTCGGAGCTGTCTCCGGATGGCTTCGGGCCTCTTTGGAGGCCTGCCGGAGGCATCACGCTGGCTATTTTGCGCCGGCTTGGAGGCGATCGTGGGATTTTCGGGGCCACATTTCAGAGGCGACGACAGGGGCGAGTAGCCCAGGGGGGGGGGCAATACATGTATTCAGGTGCGCCGATGATTTATGTCTCCGTAAAAAGGCTCCCGGGCGAATGCGTGTATTGCCCGCCTCTGGGCAATTCGTCCGTATCGTCGCCGCCGAACATTGGAACCATCTTGCTTTGGGCCAGAGTGGACCTTCGGCCGCCATTGGCCCCATTTTCCAGGCCCATGGGGGGACTTCCCCCAGTAGTGCGGGCGAGCCCCTCCAGTCAGCGCCTGGGCACGGGACCCGCCAGTGTGGAGCATGGCCAACCTCCAAGAGGACCCCACGACGCTTCCAAGATTTTCCAAGAGGCCTCCAAAAAGGAGGGCCCAGAACCGTTCCGAGTCGCCCAAGATGGTCTCAGGACGGCCCAGGAGGTTCCCAAGACGCCCCAAGAGGGCTCCAATGGGACGCCCGATGCACCCCCAGGTGGCAAAATTAGCTCCGCGTCTTTTTGGGGAAGCCCGCATCTTCAGCACACTGGCCCTTGGGTTTTTCAAAGCACCGCAAGAGGTCACCGACGAGCCCAGGAGGGGCCCCAGAGGATCCCAAAACGGCCCCAGAGGCCCCCAAAACACAAAACAAAAAAGGCCCTTGAGGGCCCCAGACTTGCGACAAGCCAGCAAAGGACGCGTGAAGGACAACGTCCTCGGCGTAGAGGCCCCAAGAGGTCCCCACGAAGTCTCCATGAGTGCTTAAAACATTTTAAGAAGGCTTCCACGATGCTTCCTAGCGGCGCTCAAGCGTTCCTCAGACGCCCCTCCGAAGGTTCCCAGGGGCAGCACTGCCATGCTGGTCTGTCGTGCTGTCGTGCTGGTCCTCCGTGCGGGTCGGCCGTGCTGAGCTGGTCGGCAGTGTTGGTATGGTACGTATCACCCCGCTGATGCGGATAAGAGCGATGGGGGCTCCGGCACTCGGCGAGACTCAGGCGCCAAAGTTTCACAACTTATACAAAGAGCCCGCCGGAGGCGCCGATTCGCTCGTTAAACCAATGTGGGCAAGTCGCGGGTGGGTCGCAGGGTGGGTCGCGGGTGGGTCACGTGGGGGTCGCTGTTGGGTCGCGGGTGGGTCGCGGGGGGGGTTGCGGGTGGGTCGCGGAGTGGGTCGCGGGTGGGTCGCGGGTGGATCGCGGGTGGGTCGCGGGGTGGGTCGCGGGGTGGGTCGCGGGATGGGTCGCGGGTGGGTAGCGGGGTGGGTCGCGGGGTGGATCGCGGTGTGGGCCGCGGGGTGGGCCGCGGGGTGGGTCGCGGGTGGGACGACGACAACAAGGAACAAACAACAAACAACAAACAACAAGCGACAACCAACACACAGCAAACAACATCAACAACAACAGCAACAACAAAGCACCAACAACAACGTCCACACCAACACCAATAACCAGTCCAACAACAACGACAACAACACCAACAACACCAACAACACCAACATCAACAACATCAACATCAACAATCATAACCACAACCACGACCACAACCACAACCACAACCATAACAACAACGTCACCAACATCAACACCAACACCAGCACCAACACCAAAACACAACAACGCCACCAACAACGACACAGCAACAAACATAATCCTCACCACGGCTCCCCAATTCAGCCACGCACCCAAGGGCAATGAATGGCTGTTTGGCCCCTTCATTTTGATATGCTGCGTGAGTGCTGGTGTGCCCCGTTCATTCGAAACCTCCCTGCTGGAGTACCCCGTTCATTCGGATACCATGGGTTACGCGAAGGGGTGACTCTTGCAGCGTGGTGCAGGCGGAGGGTCGAACCTCTCCCCGACGAGGACGGCGGAAGTGAACACTCCATATCCATTCGCGCCCGCAGGGCTGGTGGGATTCCGAGGACTGATGTGCTCGTCCCAGGTTTCGACGATGGTCCATTTCGAACTTCGCTCTGGCTCATTCCCCAACGTGCTAGCTCACGAAGTGACAAAAAGGACCTGGTGAAGTGACGGATGCAGCATGTGATTAATCGGCAGTGCTGCTTGAAAATGGCCCGAGCGTAGAGGTTTATATCAGTCCGTCCCCCCTGGAGGGCCATGGCGAGTGCCGCGGGGATTCCGAGGATCCTGGCAGGAAGTCGGCTGGAGGCCAGTTTGTGCCTCGTTCTCCTCGGTGCCCTGCTGCTCCTCCTGCTCTCCCTCCTCCTTCTCCTAACTCCGCCTCCCTCCCTCTCCCCTCCTGCCTCGCCCCCTCCTCGCTCCTTCTCCCTCTGCTCCGTGAGGTCGTGGGCATCATCCTGCTTACCGTCGGACAGGGCAGGGGGGCGACCTTCGCCGGCAAGTCCGCCGCAGCCACAGCGATGCGCGAGGCCGTTGCTGCGCTTGCAGGGGTGCCTCCTGCGCTGGTCAAGGCGAGGGGCGGGCGGGTCAGCCAGTCTATCAGGGGAGGGAAATCTATGGATAGACAGAGAGAGAGAGAGAGAGACAAAAAGAGAAAGAGAGAGAGAGAGAGAGACAGAGAGACAGAGAGACAGAGAGACAGAGAGTAAGAACAACCAGCCATTCTCTCCGCGGCTGGTACCGGACCGCTGGGACCGCCATTGCCCAGGTGCCACCCTGGCTCTAGTTTTGCGCGACGCGCGCAACGGGGTTGGCGCGAGGGGGGCTTGGACTCTTCTAAGAAGGCGGGGGGGTCTTCTTAGAAGGCAGAGGCTTCTTTGAGAGGATCCTCGGGGTCGGGAGGTGTCGGGAGGGCTTCTAAGAAGGCGGGGGGCCTTCTTACCAGGCAGGGGTCTCTCCTAGAAGATCCCAGAGGTTTCCAGGAAGGCCTCTTTCAGGGCCGAGGAGTCGGGAGGGCTTGTGAGCCACCCCTCGCACCCCCCCCCTCCCCCTGTGCGCGTCGCCACTCGGCTGGTGAGGGCCCTGCCGCCCTGATCGCAGGGGGTCGTGCCACCGCCATCGATCGACGCCTCCCGGGTGAGCTGCCAGCAGAGTCGCAGGGCTCCTTCCGATTCTTCCGACTCGGTTTCGATGGATTCCGGTTCCCGACCCGCTTCGACTCCGGGGTCCGAGGTGGGATCCGATTCCTTTTGTGGAGGCCTGCTGGCCTCCCGATGCCTCCCGACTCGACTCTGCCCGCCTCGGCTTGGGCGCTGCGTAATGGGGGGGTCATAAATGGGGGGGTGGCGAGCGTGGTCCGAAAAGGTACCCAAACGGTACCTAAACGAGCCCCCTGGGGCTCTGGAGGGGCCCGAAAGGGGCACGAAAGGGGACCTTTTCTGACCCCCCCCGTTTGTGACCCCCCCATTAAGTCACGCCCAATCGGCCGCCGATCTCCGCCGACGCGAGGCGCTTCGATGGGCAGCGATCTGACGCCGGGCTCTCCCGGGGGTCGCTGGCGGGCCGTCGGGGGCGGCAGGGGCCGTGGGGCCTTGCCCGGCCCGGGCCCCGTGGGGCCCGGCGGCCGTCCGGGAGGGGCCTCGGCATCGCTCGGGCGTGTGCGCATCGTTCCTTCGGCGAGGGCCATCGAGGAGCATCCTGGATCCTTCCTGGCGAAAATCGGGGGAGAAAAAGATACGGATACGTGTTGTCCCCCTTCGTTTTCGGCCTTTCCTGGTCCTCCTGGGGAATCCTCGTTGTCACCGCTGGATTCGCCTCGAAATTCTGGTCAGAACGCACCCCAGGAGAGGTGCGGGGACAACACGTATCCGTATCTTTCCGCCCCCCAAGAAAAAGCGCGAGGACCATCAAGGAGCATCCTTGACCATCGTTTCTTCGGCGAGGACCATCGGGGAGCATCCTGGATCCTTTCGGGCGAGAGGCCACGCACGAGTCCGACGGAAGCAGAGGGAGCGGGCGTCCGAGCGATATCGAGGAGCATCCTGGATCCGTTCTGGCGAGAGGCCACGCACGAGTCCGACACGTCCGAGCGATGGCCTGGGGCGCGGCGGGGCCAGAGGGGGTCGGTCTGCAGGCGTGCTGCCCGAGGGAGGGAGGCTTGCCTCCAGACTCTTGTGAGTCGGGCCTGTCCCTCCGCAGGAGGAGGAGTGTGCAAAAATATGCAGGAAGAGTCGAAGAAGAGTGTTGGGGGACGATTATTCTAGTGTTTTTTTGGCTTCGTTTTTTTCAAACTCTTGTCGATTGTTCGTCGAACATCGGTCTGTAGGGGGAACCGCCCGGCCTAACTCTAGGCCTGCTGGATGGGGTCGGAGTAGATGGGGTCGGAGGATCGCGCCGCATCGCCGATGCACCGCCGACGCGGCTCGATGTGGGGCCCGATTTGCTTCACGTCGACGTCGCCGATGCGTCGCTGGTGCATCTCCGATGCGTCGCCGATGCATCGCCGATGCATCGGCGATGCGGCGTGATCCTCCGAGGCCATCTGCTCCGACCCCATCCGGGAGGCCTCCAGAGGAAGTTCGCAGGCGTGCTGCCCGAGGCAGGGGCGCGTGGCCTCCTCTTCGGAGGGCGACACGCCGAGGGGGGGGTCAGTCCCGAGTCCCAGCCCGGGGCCAGTGATTGGAGGGGTGTTGGGGGCTGGGGTGAGGTCGGGCCTGTCCCTCTACAGGAGGAATATTCTAAGATAGCCAAAAGTAGCCTGGGGACTATTTTTTGATTATTTTTATGTTTAGTTCTTTCATTTCTCGCCCAAAATCCCCCTGTAGGGGGACACGCCCGACTTAAGACTGGGGGTGGGGGCGTTTTCTTTCCCTTCTTGGACTTTGAGACCACCCCCACCTCCAGTCCCGACCCCCTGGATGGCGGGTTCGGGGACTGGGTCGGGGCTGGACGTGGGGGTGGCCCCCGAGCCGGTGATTGGAGGGGTCGGGACTGGGGGGTTGGGGGCGTTCTCTTTCCCTTCTTGGACTTTGAGACCACCCCCACCTCCAGTCCCGATCCCCTGGATGGCGGGTTCGGGGACTGTGTCGGGGCTGGACGTGGGGGCGGCTCCTCGCCTTCCCAGTGGGGGCAGGGGGGGGGGCGTGCCTTCTCAGAGGGAGGCTCAGGATGCCTCCCGCCATGTGAGAAGCTCAACGGGCTTCTCTCAAAGGACCCCCCCCCTCCTGCGCAGATTTCTCGGATCTTCGCTGGGCCCCCCTCCCTGAAGCGCCCACAAGCGCGCCAGGGGCCGCCCCAGAGGCGCCGCCAGGGGGCCCCAGTGCAGATCCAAGAGATCCGCGCGGAGCCCCATCCATCCATTCCTGGTTATGCAGCTTCTGTGCCTCCACTCCCCGAGGCCGCAGCGGGGGCTCCTCAGAGGGCCGCGGCGGGCTCCTCGGGTGCCCCGCCGCCCTCTGGGAGGGCCTGCCCCCCCTCTCTCTCCCCTCCTCCCCTCGGCGCTCCGCCGTCCTCCCGACTCGGGACGGGCACGGCGCCGTCGCCTTCGAGCGCACGTCGTGCCCCAGAGACGGCGATATGGCCGGGGCCGGTGGCTCGGCGTCGTCGGAGCCGACACGTCCACAGGGCCCCGCGATACAGCATGTCCGCAAGCGGGCGGGTGCCGCCGACCTGCAGAGCACGGAAGGCTTTGGAGCCGAACGCGAGCACGGACGTGACCGGTGGGAATGGTGCTAAGAATGTTGCAGCACCTGAGGGAGCGGAACACATGCAGATGAGATGGTCCGAAGTTTGGACTGGTTCGGGGGAGGCTCAATTCGGCATGGATGGGACACGCAGCATGTTCTTATCCTCTACATTAATGTTATGCATTCACCGAGTTCTTTACACACCCATACTGTTTGTATGTTGTTATTGCAACGGTGTGTGTACAGCCTGCTGAAGTCGCCTGACTCCCACGATGTTCTGTTGCTGCTAGTTGAGCCTTCCAGTCTTCACTCACCCTTCCTTCACTCCTTGCCTCTTCGCCCCCCACCTCTCCATCCACAGCGACTGTTGCGCTGCAGCACGCACTGGCAGCAGCATGGTGGCTTCTCGCAGTGCATAGCCCACGGCGTGTCTTCAGGGTCATGATCGTCGTCTTACTTCTCTACCTCCTCCCTCTCCGCGTCATTTCCGCCCATGTCTACCTCCTTGGCTCCCTTCTCATCATTCTCCTCATCCCTCACCTTCGTCCCTCAGCTCTTACCTCCTCGCCCCGAGTCGTTGGTTCCAATCATCGGTATCGTCGTCCTTGTTTTCCTCCTACGCTACGCTACGCTGCTACGCTGACGGCCAGTGTTTGCGGGTTGATAGGCTTGCCCCCTTCCCCCCCTTTCGCACCTTCCCCTTTTCATCGTAGGCAAACGTGACGGTGCTCCCTAACAACTCCCTGGCCGTCCAGTTCGTGGTGGAGATGTCGCAGTTGTCGGGCGTGAGCTACGCAGACGAGGACAGCTTTGCCCAGGCACTGGCGAAGAAGGACCTCTCCAGCGTCCAGGAGGAGGTGAACCTCGCCCTCGCCAAGCACGACCTCGAGTTCGCCGTGCAGGTCCAGGCGATCCAGGCGCCGGGGAGCACGCCAACCGAGCGCCCCGCACCAACCCCAGGCGGGCGCATCTTGGGCCCAGGATGGGTGCGCGAGCCTGCGTGGCCAGGCCAGGCTGAAGTCGGGCCTGCCCCTCGGCAGAAGGCAGGTCCCCACCATGGTCAAACTCATGATCTGGGGACGACGCGTGGGCCATCTGTCGGGCAGTGTCTGAGTTCTTCGGGAGGTTTGTTTGTTTCTGTTCCAGATCCGCCCGTAGTCGGGGGCCCAAAAATAGACACCACCACCACCTCCCTGCCCCCCCTCCCTCTCGCTGGAAAGAGGACAGAGGAGGAATCGACGTGGTGGTGGTGTACATTCTTTGGGACCCCATGTAGACCCTAGGCGATGCTTAAGAAAATTGTTGTCGCTTCGCGAATCCCCACCAGCCCATCCAGAAACGATGCCCAGAGGAATTGCCTCGATCAGAGAAGTGGGCAGCACACAGAGGAAGCCATTATGAGACATCTTGGGATATCTTGAGCCATCTTGGAGGTCATTTTGGGCTCTCCCAGACGCTCTTGGAGTCATCTTAATCCGTGCCCCCCCCCAAGAGGCCTCCATGTGGCTAAAACCTGTGTAGAATCAATGATTAGGCATTCTCGCCGAGGCCTCTTGGAGCATCTTGGGTGCATCTGGGGGGGCTCTTGGGGCCTCTTGGGGGTCTCTTGGGGGCCTCCGGGGGGCCTCTTGGGGGCCTCTTGGGGCCATTTTGGGGCCATCTTGGGACCTCTTGGGGCTTCCTGGGCGCTTCTTGGGGCCATCTTGGAGGAGATCGATCAAACAAGAGGGGGGGTTTAATTAGCGCCCCCCCTCGGAAGCCCCTAAAATCGCCTCTTGGACCCCTCTTGGAACGCTCTTGGAGTGCTCTTGGGCGCTCTTGGGGCCGTCTTGGGGCTCTTTTGGGGCTCTCTTGGGGCCCTCTTGGGCCATCTTGGAGCCATCTCCAGGCCTCGGATGGCCATCGGAAGCGAAAAGGCGAGAAAGCAAAAATCATTGATTTTCCTTAGGTTTTGGGACGATTTTGGCCTCTTCGGGGCCTCCTTGGGGAGCTGTTTGGCCACTTGGAGTTATCTTGGGGCCGTCTTTGGGCTTCTTGGAACCATCTTAGGAGCCATCTCGAGCGATCTTGCGCTATCTTGAGCCATCTTGGAGCTCATCTTGGGTTCTCTGAGGCGCTCTTGGAGCCGTCTTGGGCCATCTGGGACGCTCTAACTACCCGCGGCCCCCCCCCGTCCAGGTCCAGGGGAGGGGGTAGGGGGAGGGGTAAACCCCTCCCCAAGGGGGAAGAGGGAGGGGTGGAAGAGGATCTGCTCTAGACCACCTACGCCCAGAGGGCTGGTGGGACTTAAGTTTTCGGCCAGAATCTCGATTATTCTTAATGTTTCAATGTAAATCCCATGATTATAATCGAAGTTCTGGGTTCTTATGCAAAGTCTGAGACTATGAATTTCTCAACCCATGATTTCTTAAGCATCTCGCAGGGTGTAGGAGGACACGCCCGACCTCTAAGGCCCGGAAACGGCGCGCCGGGCCACGGGGCGCCAAGGTGCCTCCGCGCCCGTCGCGCCTCGCGCCCCGGGGCCGCCACGGTGCGCCGGTCTGGGGCGCGAGGGCGCGGGGGCGCGAGGGCGCGGAGGGAGCTGCACGCCGCGCCCCGATCCTCCTCCTCCTCCTCCTCCTCCTCCTCCTCCTCCTCCTCCTTCTCGTCCTCCTCCTCCTCCTTTTTCCTTCCTCCTTCCTCCTTCCTCCTTCCTTCCTCCTTCCTCCTTCCTCCTCTTCTTCCTCCTCCTCCTCCTCCTCCTCATCCTTACTCTTTCGGGGGCGGACAAAGGGGTCGGTGCCACGCCGCGCGGTGAGTCAGGGGGCGCGGTTTTGGGACTTGGGCCACCTTCCGAGGACAGTTCGGTCGACTTGTGATCCCAGGGCCTCAAAACCGTGCGACGACGGACCGTGCGGTGAAGTCTTTGGGGGTTCCGAGGTCGTCGCGCGGTCGGTCTTCGCACCGTTTCGGGACCTTCAAGGTACCGACGCCGCTGCTCCCAGGACCTGTCCCGGGGTGCGTCCTGACCAGGTTGCCAGAGCGAATCCTGCCGCGGCGCTGAGTTTGGGGTTGCCTCTATCGTCCCTCCCCCAGTCCGACGTTGCGAAGTAGTTGCGACATCCCGACGCAACACGCTGCCGGAACCCCAGGGGCCCAGTCATCCTGGGGCGTCTCTCGAGCCGGCTCCATCCGAGCTGGCCCCGACGCCCGAAGCTGGGCGAACGCGTCCTGTGTGGAAGACGTGCAGCGCCCAGGCCCTCTGGGCCGTCGAGCAGCAGGCAGGCGAGGAGCAGGCGGGCGTACGGCAGAGCGCACCGCGCGTCAGCAGCTACAGGCGGAGGAGGAGGAGGAGGAGGAGGAGGAGGAGGAGGAGGAGGAGGAGGAGGAGGAGGAGGGAGGAGAGGGGGAGGAGGAGGAGGAGGAGGAGGAGGAGGAGGAGGATGGGGAGGAGGGAGGAGGAGGAGGAGAGGAGGGGAGGAGGAGGAGGAGGAGGAGGCGGAGGAGGAGGAGGAGCACTTGGCGCCCTCCCGAGCCGCAGGCGGAGGCGAGGGCCATCCGCCCGCTCCAGAGTGGCGCTGCGACGCGCCTCGCTGGGCCCGTGCCGCTCCTGCTCGCCGCGGCGGTGGCGGCGGCTGCGCTGTGGGCGGGCTGAGGCCTCGCGCGCGGGCGCGCGCCCTTGCTCGGCGGCGCGGGGAAAAATTCGCCTCCTCCCCCCTCCCCCTCCTCCTCCTCCTCCTCCTCCTCCTCCTCCTCCTCCTCCTCCTCCTCCTCCTCCTCTCCCTCCTCCTCCTCCTCCTCCACCTCCTCCTCTTCTAACCCTTCTGCTCTGCTCGTCGTCGTCGTCGTCCTCCTCCTCCTCCTCCTCGTTCTTCTCCTCCTCTCCTCCTTTTCCTCCTCCTCTTCCTCCTCCTCCTCCTTGAGTATCCTTTTATCGGCCCCAGATGGCGATATGACCCAGCCAGCACCCCCGTTGGGGATAATGTCCCATCCCCATTCCCATCCCCATCACCATCCAGCACCCCCGTCGGGGATATGTGCCCTCTCGAAGCCCGAATGAGGGGGCTCGTAGATCCCATCTGGGGGGGGAGATCTGTCAGTGGGGCCTGGGCCACGCCCATGGGGATATGGCTCGGTGGAGCGGTGCTCGGGCGTGGGCACGAGCTGGACAGTCTCAGGCATGCTCGCGTCGCAAAAGGAGCAGCTCGGCCGGAGGTTCTCGACAGCAGATCATGGGGGCCTCGTATACACTCTTGGAGTTGAGTATTTGCGGTGCACTGGCGTCGTTAAGCGTCTGGTGATCGGTGAGATCGCGTCGATTTAGCGTCGGTTAGCGTCGACACGCGTCGCTTCGCAACCGCCAATACGGCATGAAAGGCTCCTGAGAGTTGCCACGGAACAACGTGTTGGCAATTTTCGGACACCAGGGGTTCTCGTCGGGCTCCGGGACCGTCGCAACATTTGCTCGGGATGCAAAGCTGGCTTTGGGGAAAGGTTCAGGGCCTCCAGGGGCGGCGTATTGAAAAGATCAAGCTTCAAGGCATCGCATGTCTGGGCACGAGGAGGGCGACGACGGTGACGGTGACGAAGACGGAGGCCAGGACGAGCACCTCGTGGCGGGGAGATGGAGCGGTGTGGCCTTCGAAAGGAGGGAGGTGACGGGCGGACGCACTCTCCCGTTCGCGCCGGGGCGCGGTCCCTCTAGGGTCGGGGCTCAAGAGACGGGGGTCAATGCAAACGGGGGTCAGCCAGGGCACCGGATCCTGCAGGATCCTGCGAAGCCCCCCTCTGGCTGACCCGGGTTAGTGAGCCGCTCGTGGCCGCGAGGCGGCCGCGCATATTGGCTGGCCCGGGTTTGCGAATACCTGCGTTGCAGTGTTTTTTTCTTGCATTGCAGTTTTTGGTTTCCTGTTGACCCGGGTCTGGATTGACCTGGGTCAGAATATCCCCGATAGGGACGCCGCGGTGGCGCCGTGGCGCCGAGCATCCGAAGTATAACTGGCGAAATAGTTGGCTATTCAGCAGGAGGAGGAGGAGGAGGAGGAGGAGAAGGAGGAGGCGGAGGCGGAGGCGGAGGCGGAGGCGGAGGCGGAGGAGGGGGATGTGGGAGGAGGAGGAGGCGGAGGAGGAGGAGGAGGAGGAGGAGGAGGAGGAGGAAGAGGACGACGAATAATCATAATAATACGACGAAGAGGAATAGTACTAAGAATACTAGCAATACAGATAGAACTACTAATAAGACGAAGAGTAATACACATATTATTAAGAAGATGACGACTCAGAAGAGGACTAATACTACGAATAATAATATAAATACGAAAAATAATAATGAAAACTAAGAAGACGAGCAATACTCTTACTAATAACAACACGAATACTATTAATAGACTAATATTCATTTAATTAATGATAAGACGTAGACTAACAATCACACGAATAAGAAGAAGACGCATACTAATACTAAGAATAAGAAGAAGACACATAGGACGAATAATAGCAATAACAATAAGAAGAAGAGGAGGGTGAGGATGGGAGGGAGGGAGGGAGCGAGGGAGCGAGAAAACGCGGGAGCGAGGGAGCGAGGAAGCGAGGGAGCGAGGGAGCGAGGGAGGGAGGGAGTGGGAGAGGGAGGGAGGGAGGAGGCGACGGAGGATGAGGAGTAGGCGATGGAGGAGGAGGAGGAGGAGGAGTAGGCGGAGGAGGAGGAGGAGGAGGAGGAGGAGGAGGAGGAGGAGGAGGAGGAGGAGGAGGAGGAGGAGGAGGAGGAGGAGGAGGAGGAGGAGGCGGAGAAGGAGGAGAAGGAGGAGAAGGAGGAGGAGGAATAGAGTGGAGGGTGGAGGGGGATGAGGGAGGAGGGGGGAGGGGGGGAGGGCGGAGGGACAAGCTATGTGCGCTCGCGTCATATCTGACGTCCTACCCCTCCCTCCCATCCCTTACCATGGCGCTGATTGTCTCTATCCGCGGACGCGTGTCGTAGCGGACCTGTGGCTCCGCGCGCGCGTGCGTCGTGGTTGGTGGTGCGCGTGCGTGCGTGCGTGTGTGCGTGGTTGTGGTTGTGGTGGTGGTGGTGGTGGTGGTGGTGGTGGTGGTGGTGGTGGTGTGTGTGCGTGTGTGCGCGTGTGCTGTGGTGTGACGTGGTGTGGCGTCTTGGTGGTTTGGTGGTGGGCCAGGTGCGTGCGTGCGTGGTGGCGGTGGTGGTGGCGGCGGTGGTGGTGGCGGTGTGTGTGTGTGCGCGCGCGTGTATGTGTGTGTGTGTGTGTTTGCGTGCGTGCGTGCGTGCGTGCGTGTGCGTCTGTGTGCGCGCGCGTGTGATGTGGTGTGACGCGGTCTAGCGTGGTGGTGGTGGGTGGGGTAGTGGGGTGGTGGTGGCGGTGCGCAGTGGTGGTGCGCGTGCGTGCGTGCGTGCGTTTGTGGGTGGAAGTGGCAGTGGGCGGGGCGGGACGCGGTGCGGTGGTGGCGAGCGGATGGGCGCGCGAGAAAGAGGCCCGCGCTGGGGCGAGAACGCCATCCAGAACGACGGAGGCAAACCACCGATCCGAAAATGAGGCCCACGCTGCCGCGGGAACACGATTCGGAACGAGCGGAAGCCCGAACATGATGTTGGCGCATCAGCGGGTGCAGCATTTTGACAAACAACCTAAGCGACAACCCAACTCCAGGACATACGGTGTGTAAAAAACAGTATGCGGAGGGGTGCCCGCCATTTTCCGCACGCCATGAGTGGAATGAGGAGAGTGTATTCATATTGAGTAATTGTGGAGGGGGGAGGGAGGAGAAGGAGGAGGAGGGAGGAGGAAGGAGGGAGGAGGAGGAGGAGGGAGGAGAGGCGGAGAGGGAGGATGCGGAGGAGGATGCGGAGGAGGAGGAGGACGAGGAGGAGGAGGACGAGGAGGAGGAGGAGGAGGAGGAGGATGAGGGGGAGGAATAATACTAAGACTAGTAAGAAGCCTCATGATAAGACGCATATGCAGAATACTAATACTAAGGCTAATCATACGAAGACGACTATTACTAAGACCGGGAATGCTAATAATAAGAAGAAGGAGGAGGAGGAACACGAGGAATAAGAAGAAGAAGAAGAGGAGGAGGAGGGAAGTGGAGGAGGAGGGATGATGAGGAGGAGGAGGCGGCGGCGGCGGAGGCGGAGGCGGAGGCGGAGGCGGAGGCGGAGGAGGATGAGGAGGAGGAGGAAGAAGAGGAGGGGGGAGGGGAGGAGGAGGGGGAGCAGGAGGAGCAGAGGAGGAGGAGGAGGAGCAGGAGGAGGATGAGGAGGAGGAGAGGAGTTGGAGGAGGAGGAGGAGGCGGAGGAGGAGGAGGAGGATGCAGAATAATATGACAAAGCAGGCGAAGAGGCAACATAAGAGGAGGAGAGGAGGCGGAGGGGAGGAGGAGGAGGCGGAAGGAGGAGGAGGAAGAGGAGGAGAAGAAGAGGAGGAAGAGGAGGAGGAGAGAGGATGAGGAGGAGGGGAAGGGGGAGGAGGAGGGAGGAGGAGGAGGAGGAGGAGGGGAGGAGACGGAGGAGGAGGAGGAGGAGGACAAGGGGAGGAGGGATGAGGAGGAGGAGTGGCGGAAGGAGGAGGAGGATGAGGAGGAGGAACAAAGGAGGAGCAGGAGGAGGAGGAGGAGGTGAAGGTCGAGGATGAGGATGATAAATGAGGGAGGAGGATGAGGAGTGGCGGGAGGAGGAAGAGGAGGATGATGAGGAGGACACCTAATACTAGTAAGACTAGTAAGACAATCCAGACCCATAATACTAAGAAAACGAATTGCAGTAGTCATACAACTAATAATACTACTACTCGTAGTAATACTAATACTAATGATACTAATAGTAATAGTACTAAGACGAAGAATAATCATACTAATATGCATCGCCAGAATAATAAACATATGAATGAACAAACAATAGCAGTACGACGAATAGCATGAACACTCAACACTGGAGGATTAATCCGACGACAACTAAGACTAATAATAACAATCAAACCAGTAATACTAACCATAATAAGCATGTTGCTACTATCATTAATGCTACTATGCTTAATACTAATAAGAGGAGCAAGAAGAAGAGGCGGAGGAGGAGGAGGAGGAGGGAACGGAGGAGGAGGAAAAGGAGGAGGAAGGGGGGAGGAAGGAGGAGGAGGAGGAGGAGGAGGAGGAGGAGGAGGAGGAGAGGAGGAGGAGGAGTGGCGGGATTATTATGATGATGATGATGATGATGATGATGATGATGATGATGATGATGATGATGATGATGATGATGATGATGATGATGATGATGATGATGATGATGATGATAGATGATGAATGATGATGATGATGATGATGATGATGATG